ACACACACACACACACACACACACACACACACACACACACACACACACACACACACACACACACGTTTTTAATACTTATGGAGACTTTGTTCTGATTTCAGACCTCATGTTAGGGGACCAATGCCCGGTCCTTGCCTTCCTACACAGCTCCGCTCAGTTCTAGTTTCCCTTCACTGCTCTGTCTGAGATTTCTCCCAAAGACAAGGATTTCTTTTGGGAGCATTTCGTTTGGGCCAATCAGAGAACAGAATGTCAATTTTCTGTTCAGTCTCTGCTTGTAGTTTAGCAATGGCAGTGGAGGAAGTGAATAAAGTCTGTCTGCATTGATAAGGCTTCCAAATTAAATGATATTTGTCTCACAAAGCCTGCAGCTCTCGTTTACAGCCATCTCGTTCAGCTCGGTACGTTTCCTGTCTCAGTAGGGGATGGTTGTTTACAGTGCACATGCAATTTTTAGTTAGCTTCTTAGCCTAGCCTCCTTCACAGTGGAGCTGTTGCACTGGATACGTCGTGACCTAAATTGCTGAGAAACACTTAAAGGCACACTCATGAAGGAGCTCAACAGATGCTGTAGCAAATTGGCCTTATAAAAACTCTCCACCATGCTACAAATCTGTGGGCCATAAGGTCAATACGGAGCTAGGAACAACACGAGCCAGTGTTGACATGCATAAACAGGCTTGGACCCCGGTCATAACTGCTTCTCAGTTCTAGTTCTAATTACCTTTTCTTCAAAAAGTGAGTCAAGTTTTACACAGAACACCAAAAATTCCTGTCTGTCATAGTTTTGAACATTTGCAGCTTTCAGTCACAGGTAACCCTGGCCTTTCACCCACAGACCAGGTACAGATCAGTCAGGTACTGATGAAGCCTCACCTGCAGACTCCAAACTCATCACAGCGGCTGTTGGTGATGTTGCAGCTGCAGACACTTCCTACAGGAACAGGAGAAACAGGAGGTGTGAAGGACAGGTGACACAGAGACAGGAAGCTGTAAGAGAGTAATTAATCCTGTCAGAATTTAACGACTAGCATTCTTTAAAACAAACCGTACGGCCCGCCAGCAGTCACGCCAGAGTTTTAGATTGAAATCATTTTATGGGAGAAACAATCGAGTTGTAGCTGTTTTGAAAATAACATTGTGAACAATATTTTGAGATCTTGGTTGATCTGTGAGCACTCAGAGTATGAGTTAAAGATGAACTTCAGCTACTACAACAGGTTTGTTTGTGCTCAGTTTCTGTTAAAAGACAGTCATTTTGATTTGCTTGATCTCACAAGGTACATTGTTGTGCATGCACATCCAATGATGGTTTAATTAAAAGCTATTCTTTGGGTAATGAGATATTTTCATACAAAACGACACATGAACACACACAAAAACCATCATCACACACATTTTGTGAGAAAGCTAACGAACAATGTCAGAACATAAGAAACAATTTGTACACCCAAGAGTCAGGAAGCCGAAAAATCAAGTAAAAAATAAAATTAAATAAATGCTCTCCAACAACACTTTTACAGGTAAAGTTGTAATCTTAGCTGCATATTCTCATAGTCTCGATCCGCAGCAGACACTGCTCAAACATCAGTTTACTGCTGCCACACAAACATACCCACAAAGTTCTGACCAATCACACATTGCTCAACTTCAGGCCTCCACATAGGAGTGACAAGCTGAAGGTAAAATAAACTTAATATCACTCCCAACCTGTTAGCGTTCACTATCCAACACTAATTTAGCATCATTTGTTGCTGTAGATTCTTAGTCATCCTGGGAAATGATAAACAAAGATGCAGCAACTGGACCTCTGATGTGTAGCTGAAGACACGCAGAGTTCTGTGCTTGTAACTGCATCAGGTAAGGTTTGTACCGTTTATAAATGGATCGATCCGCTCACAGCTACCTGATATTATGTAAGAGTCAGGTGGAACGAGACATTAGTGTTCACACCTACTTTGTAAAACATTTGATATGATGTACAGGAACTTAAAACCACAGGTTTTGAACAGATTTACCTGCAGCGTGAACGTTATGTGATGTGATGTAAGGTCATTTGTTAAAAAGCACAGGTGTTTAAAATGTTTAAAAGAAAAGAATAAAAATGTGAATGTGGTGGAACTAATACTTTTAGGTTTAAGCCAGTAATTCATGACATCCTTTAATGACCTAGGTTTTCATGACATGCTGTTCATCTGCAGACAGAATGATTAAAGTAAGAACAAGATTTGTTAACAACAGTCATTCTTAGATATCACTTGTGTTTATCTTTGTGTTTTCCATTGACCTTGTATCAAATCTTGCTAAGATGACAGAATGGTGTTAGTTAATATATATATGAGGCCTCTCGAGTGAGTGACACAGTGGAGAGACAGTGACACAGAGGCAGAGGCACAGAGACAGACCAGGTTGTTCTCTGAGTTTCCTGTTGTTGCAATAAAACTCAGCTGATCATCTCACGGAGTACCTTCATTCTTGGACCACGTATTTCTGTCTTTGTTAAATAAATATTACCACAACAGTTTGACGTTGTCGGCAGAGACCACTAGGAGATCGACGGACCAAGGCCACATTGCAGGTGGACTGATATGAGTGAGCAAGGACTGGACTGCTCAGGACCGTGTCTCCAGCTGGATGAAAAGAAACTTTTTATGGTAAATTGTTTTAACAACAGAGATACGCTGGTGATGATTGTGATGGATGATCTTGAATAAGAAAAGAACATTGAATTTTTATTTTTGGCTGTTGAAGAACCTGAGAAGATTTTTGAAACATCATCTGCTGAGAGTGAGTACAGAACAGCTTCAAGATGCCTCCTTACTTTTCCAAAGAGGATTTCTGCCAGCTTCTCCAAAAGGTGACGGTGTTGGAGCTCAAGATTCATCGTTTGGAAGAGATGAATGCTTTGGAGAACTCAACATGTGTTAAAATGGGTGAGAAGGCTGAGAGGAGAGATCAACATGGAGAGGAGATGGAAGCTGCTTCTGAGDGTAAAACTGTATGGAACTCTGTTGGTGCCAGACCAAAAAATCTCTCAGGAAGGATTCAGCTCTTAGATGACATCGAATGGCCAGAATTACAGAGAAATGCTTTTTCTTCTCCAGCAAGGAGAAGAAAGCAACAGGCTGTAATCAAAACAACTGATAACAGCCAGAGAAATGAAGCAGTGAACCGACAATTGGAAATCCTGAAGAAGGATTTTATTCTGCTGCTGAACGCAGTTAAAAATCTCAACATGGATGTGTTCCTCAGTGGGCCCGTTYCTACAGCCAGAGGAGGAGCTGAGAGGTTCAGCAGACTGTTGGCTCTTAATGGATTTTTGGAAAAGTCCTGTGTTGACCACTCTGTGAGTTTTGTGGATAACTTTGACCTCTTCTGGGAAAGAAAACACCTCTTCAAGTCTGATGGAATGACTCTGAATCAAACTGGATCACAGCTTCTGGCTTCAAACATGAAGTATTTCCTGAACAAAGTTCTGGCTGGAAACAAACAACAGGAAAAACCACAACAGCTGACGTCTGAAGGACAGCTGGAGAAAACTGAGATATCAGTGAAACACAGCGTGCCAGTTACTGATAAGAAGACTGCTTCAGAATCAGAACCAGAGAGAGAGGAGGTGCTTCAAGCTGCAGAACCAGCATCACAAACAGAGGATCTCTTGGACTCTGAGACCCCAACAGGACAGCAAGTGGAATGCCCCCTCCTGGATTTTACTAACAACATGGAAGAACCTGGTGTGATTAATATCAAACAAACACCATGTCCAAATCCACGTAACCCTCCTCTTCCAGCCCCAGGAACTAAACCAGCCTCTACAAAACAATTCACAGAGCCCCACCACCACCTCTGACCCTTCCACACATCAAAACAGACAATCCTGTTTGTATTCAAGATGATCCAAAGACTTCTGTGTGATAACTGTGTTTTGGGTTTAGTAATTACTGTGGGAGGAATAAAAACGGAATTTCTGTGGTTTGGATTTCAGAAAAGTACATATACTTAGGTTTGTGTTGACATAGTTTTTTAAAATACATTAAAGAGTTATTTTGTTTGTCTTATTGATCATTTAATTGATTAGTGACTAATCAAGAGGAGGGGAGTTGTCCTGGAACTAATACTTTTAGGTTTAAGCCAGTAATTCATGACATCCTTTAATGACCTAGGTTTTCATGACATGCTGTTCATCTGCAGACAGAATGATTAAAGTCAGAACAAGATTTGCTAACAACAGTCATTCTTAGATATCACTTGTGTTTATCTTTGTGTTTTCCTTTGACCTTGTATCAAATCTTGCTAAGATGACAGAATGGTGTTTGTTAATATATATATGAGGCCTCTGGAGACACAGTGAGTAGTGTGGAGACACAGTGAGTAGTGTGGAGACACAGTGAGYAGTGTGGAGAGACAGTGAGTAGTGTGGAGACACAGTGAGTAGTGTGGAGACACAGTGAGCAGTGTGGAGAGACAGTGAGTAGTGTGGAGAGACAGTGACAGAGAGAAGCAGAGGCACAGAGACAGGACAGGTTGTTCTCTGTGTTTCCTGTTGTTGCAATAAAACTCAGCTGATCATCTCACAGAGTACCTTCATTCTTGGACCACGTATTTCTGTCTTTGTTAAATAAATATTGCCATAACAGTGAACAATTTTTAAAAGTATGACAAGAAAAAAATGTTAAAAATAATAGCAATAACATAAATGTTGCTATAAATGAACAGATAGAATTATACTGAATTAAACCCCTGTATTAAATCATGTCAGAATGAGACTTTCATCCATCCTTTTACCTACTTCTTCTTTTCAGGGTCACAGGGGCCACTGGTGTCCATATCCAGCAGTCCCTGTGTGAGGGGCGGGGGACACTCTGGACAGGTCTCCAGTCCATCACAGGGACACATAGAGACAAACAACCTTTCATTCTGTCACTCACACCTAGGGACAATTTAGAGTCATCATTTAACCTAACAGTCATGGTTTTGGTCTGTGGGAGGAAATCAGAGTACCTGCATGCACAGAGATAACATGCAAACACTCCCCAGAAAGGTCCCTGGCTGGGATTCAAACTGGCAACCTTCTTGCTGGCAGGGAGCAGCTCTACCAATTGAGCCGCAGACAACTTTATCACAGAAGCATGTCAGAATAACACTCACAGCTGATGCATTATGTCAGAATAAAACATAGGAAAATGGAAAGTTGTCACAAAAAGAACTCTTTACCCTCAATAAGGTTCTTGAGGGGGCAAGAGAGTATGCCCACTCAGTCTACATAAGATTTGTGGACTGGTAAAAGTCATTCAGTGTGTTGTTTGGAGAACGCTGTGGTGGATGCTCTGTGAAGTATGGGATTGGGGGTCTGTCATTACAGGCCTTTCAGTCTAGTTAAAGTGTCTGGTTTGCATTGATCTGACTCCTTCAGGTCAGAGTCAGACTCTGCCAGAGCTGCTACATGTCCCAATTCTGTTTATAATATTTGTGACCCATTACTTCGAAACAAGGATTAAGTCCAAACATGGAATATGGAGAAATAGGCAGAAATAGGGTTTTGATTTAAAAGTGTGCAAAAATTGCATTTCGTCAAAATATAATGAATTAATCCCTTATCAATATACCATTTGAATGAACTGTCTGAAATATAATCCCAAAAAAATATTTGAAGCATTTGTTGAGCAGTAAAAAAAAAAAAACTTGATTTTGAGGAAAAACACCCCAAAATTTAGAATTTTTCCCTGTGGGATAGCAAAGTTTTTGCTTCTTTTCAAATGGGAAATCTTAATATGCATATACTCTCTGAGGTTTCTTCTTTATATTGATATAAAAAATATTCAACAAATTTACATAAAATTAGGATTCAGACCAAACACTAATATATTATCATAACCAACAAGATCAATACAGTAATTTATCTGGATAAGTTTATGATATCAGAATGATCCAGGTATCAAAATGTAGCTTTTAAAGCAGGAATCTGAAAATGCAGTTAGATCATTTTGACCAAATTTGACTTAATCCTCATTTCATGATAGGTCACATTTATGGACAGAATTTCTTGGTGCAGCCACCAACAGTACCCAATTTCTCTCTCACACACCCCTGTGTAAGTGATATGCAAAAATGGCCTTTCTCGTTATCTATAAATCAAGTTTTAGATGCTTTTTTAGTCACCTCAGTGTGACACTGAATGGACCAATTCGACAAGGGGCGTTGAAGCCAACCCACCCTTCAACCTTTGTGCCAAGGAGGGAGGTAGTACCAGAGCTGAAATCATCATTGAAGCCACAGAACAAGTGATCACCAGCCGATCACAGGATTTAATAGCAAACACATTTAGTACTGATGTAAGACTGATATTGATGCACACAAACTTTGTCTGTAGTCAAAATAACAGATAACCACAAAAGAATTGCTGAACTGAGTTTTAAAAACATTATGAAGCAGATGTCTGTCTCACATTTAATGTGAAGACTTGTCTAAATGTCTGAAATGTTATATCCCACTCTCTCCGTCTGTTTGTTTATTGGCTATTTTAGATGATGTCACCTCAGAGAAAAACAAATCTTGCACAATTTTCACTGCCTTTTGTATTGCAAAGAAAACCATACACTTGAATTGGAAAAATAAAAACGCTATTAGTATTAACCAGTATAGAAATCTCTTATTAGATCACATTAGTCTTGAGACAGCCTCTGCTGCTGCATCAGATAAACATCTCTGGGCTCCTTTGATCGGCTTCATCACATAGTGGGGGTGGGGGGTTCTTGGACTGGGCCGTGTGGGGCAGTGGAGCTGATGTGGGGGGTATCAGGGTTTTGGGCGTCGGGGGTGGGGGTTCCTGGGGGCAGGGCTGCTGGGGGTTCCTGGATGGAGAGGGGCGCGGCTCTCGCCCTGGGGTGACCCTGGAGGTTCTGGGGGATATCTTCTGGTGGCTACATGCAGGCTCTTAAGTGGTCTGTGACTGTGGTCATGGGTTGCTGATCCGGTGGCTGGGGTGGGTTCGGGGTACACGCGGGGAACTTAGGGTTCTGGGGTCATGCCTCCCCCTGGGCTGTGGTCCTGGTGGGGTCTGGAGGCTTGAGGCCTGGCGGGTGGATTGCCGGGCTCTGGGCCAGTTTGTGCCTTGGTGCCCGGCTCTGGGCAGGGGGCCTTTTGGTGCGCTGGTGGGCTGCGGGTCCGAAGAAGCTGGGCGGTTGGGTTGGGTGGGGATGGGGCCGGTGGCCCGTGGGAGGGGTAGGCCAACCCAGCCTGGGTGTCTGGCATGCTATATGTTCTGTGAGTTGTCTGAATGATGGGGTGGGTATAGTCTTTCTTCTGGGGTGGGGCTGGGCGGATGGCCGTGGTGGTGGCGGCGGGCTGTGCTGGGTCAGCTGGCTGGCCCCTTTGTTGTGGTGGGGGCTTGCTCTTGGTCCCTCCTTGTGCTGTCGACGGTTGGGTGTGCACTCTCGGCTAGATCATCCTTGCTGGGGTTCAGTAGCTTCTTTGAGCTGCGGGTTGACTGTGGGGCTGGGGTTGGGTTTTGGGGGTCTTTGCGGCTCTGGGGCGGGTGGTCTGTTGGTCCTGTTTCCTGGCGGTCCTCTGGGCTCTGTCTGTCCATGATCTGGGGCCTTCCGGGCCTAGAGGTCTGTCTGGAGGAAGAGGTCCTGGGCCTCATTCCCTGAGTGGGTCTTGGGAAATGGGGTAGCCTACTGGGGTCAGTGGGGGAGCTGGCCCCCTGTGGGAGCATTCTTGCTTCCTCAGTTTTTTATCCCCATCCCCCACCACACACCTCCACCCTCTTCATTTTTTCAACTGCACTCACGTAGGGTTTTTGGGGCACAGGTGTGTTACAACAGCAACAATTTTACATCTGTTTGCTGTGGCCACCTAGGCTCCAGTTTTACTGTACACCATAGACATTTATTCATAACCTCATAACCTCATAACATTTACACATAGGAACTTGGGAGTGGGCACTTATGCATGTAAGGGGTGGGATGGGACAGTCTCGCCACTGATGCCTGTGCCCACTCACACTGTTTGCTTTTAGACATTTAGGGTTAGGGTTAGAGTTGGGGTGGAGGGAAAACTGACATAGTGCTGGCCTCTGCCCCGTCTTCTTCCCCGTTTTAATTGCATTATAGAACATCACGCATCAACAGTACATCTGAGGGTGGGGTGTGTGTGTCGGGGCCTTTTTCACTCCCCCGTTCCCCGTTGGCC